GTTGAACTGGTACACTTCTGTGCAAAGTTCTATGCTGAAATCGATTAGTCAGTCAGTCAGTAACCCAGAGTTTATTGATGATTATAGTACATAAGGATATTAGGAAATTATCTAAGTGCGGTTATGTATTGAGTGGACAGCTATTTATCTATGGCAGTGCTTGACGCTTTGTACCGTTTAATGTTTGAAATTCAATAGTATGAATAGTTGTGTTCAATCTAGTGGCTAAATATATGTAGTGTCCCGCTCATGAAATCTAATGGTTCTTGACTTAAATCTCCTCAAAGTCATTATTTGCAATCTCTGCTATCACTGGCTGGAAACGGCCAGCTCAGAGAACACCATTAATTTGAAATATTCTTCATTTTTTACTGTAAAATTAATAAAATTTTAGGAAAACACCTGAAATGAAAGTTATTTTTAATCAAAATAGTCCGACAGGTGATGGGAGTATTTTTTTAATGAATTAAATATTTCTAAATTCATTTGCTCAATTTTTGTTTAGACGAAATTTTATTTTATAATAAAGGTTTTTGTATTTCCCAATGAATGAAAAACAAAACAATATCGTTTTGTTTTTCATTCATTGGGAAATACAAAAACCTTTATTATAATGAATATCATATACCCAATGCCCAAATTTTTTCAAACCGTTAAAAGTGAACTTGGTTTGGACATATATGAAATTTTATTTTATTGATTTTTGTCACATGATTAATTTCATGACCTGCAACTTGAAAATGTACTATTATAGTTTTCATAAAATTCAGGTATCTGTGAGTGGATTTATCGGTCAACTTTTCTTCTCTATGCTATGCACGTTTTAGCTACACACAGTTTGAAATGCAAAATCTACATCATAGGAAAGAAAAAAAATACAGAAACAATTTAATTTTAAAGTTAAAAATTTCGACCACGAAAATTGTACATCTCGACTTCCCCTGCATTGTTCCGTAGCAGGTCGTAAAGTCTTCATACTACAGTAAAGATTAGACACCACGGCGAAATGACTTTGCACTATCCAATCAAATTCCCCGCTCAGCATTACAAATGTATGCTTCTCATAATATTCATTGTAAGTTTCACTCTAACCTTAACCCTGTGAATCAGGATGAAACTTGCAACGAAGATTATGAAACTCATCCATTTGTAACGCTGAGTGGCGACCTGATCGGTTGGTTGGGGGTCATTAGACTGTGATGCCTGTTCCTTGCTGTTTCCATACTCTGAACCAGCCACATATAGCTAGCCTTAGGTAGCTGTCCCTTGAACTCTACAGTCATGAGACACTATAACTGTTTTTATTTCTGTTATTTCAAGAAGGAATCAGCCTCCACAATATGAGCAGCCTGGAAGTAACAACCGCCAAATCCATTTTATCTAACTCACACCACCCTCTTCACTCACAACTCTCCCCCTGCATCTCATCAGGTAAAACCAGAAGCCTATGTAGAAAACTATATGCTCGCACCAGCAAGTACAAAAACTCAACCATACCCTACTTAGCTCGTATTCTGTGTGATAAAGAAAGCATTAAGCGTGACACCTATAATTCATTAAATAGTCAGTAGTAAAACTGGATCTCGTCTTTCCAACTCATATCATTTGTGGGTACAACATTTTCTTTTCCTTTTCTTTCTCTCTTTTTTTCCGTTTTGTGCTGCTTTGTTTCTTTCTTCCGCTTACGCCAGTAAATATGACAGCTCCCACTTTTCTAACACCTTCAAACACTGTTCAGCTTTCCTTTGCTACCGATATGCCAATGTGTTGTTGTAATAATGAACTAAGATTTCCTTAATCTATGTAGAATTCTATTTATTGATAATGTACTAACTGGATGCAATACTGTAGTAAAAATGCTGAGAATTCCATTCTGTATCACATGTACTGTTTTGGAATAAAACAAATTATTATTATTATTACTTCCACAAACACATAAGATTTTACTGATCATCTAAACGCTTCTGTGTTTTGACCAAAACCTGCCTGTCAGGTGTAAATTGTAATGATTATTTTTTACAGTAATTAACAGCTGAATGTCGTCAATAGTGCCGTGTGGTATTGACAAGATTTATCAGTAGTAAATTAAGAGACGTTCAGCACCACAAAAATAATATCAAATAAGGGAGAGATAGATTTCACGACTAAAAAAACTTCTTTTGTATGCAGAGTTTAGGATTTAACATGCGAATCGCCATTGGTTCTGCGGTTTAAAGAAGTTTGATTTGTACTCTGCATTTGTATTCTGTAGATAACTTTGAAGTTCTTTTGTGGATCAGTTTGGTGTCCAGATTGGATCAGGTGTTCGAGGATAGAGCTGAGGGTTGGGGGAAGGTGCGATCTGTTTCCCCTTTTATAAAACCATGAGGGTAAATGTCCAATTATATGTTTGGATAGCAAACGCTGGGTACGGTCGACATACCTAGCTTCACACGAGCAGGTGAATTGGTAGATGCACACTTCGGGACTCTAAGAATCAATGGCTGGAGACAATAGGTGACATGGCTCAAAATCGTTGTCAGTGGCGCAGATGTATTCAGTCTCCGTAATCTTTCATATTCCTTTCTACCATTACTCATTCTGTTTCACTCTTATACTTGTCAAACTCTATTGATTCTCTTCACTCATCTTCTTGTCTACCTTTGTGCGCTGTTTGGAATGTGGCAACTCGAACTGCTGCACATCAGTGTCAAGTTCTATGTTGAATCCAGACAGAGAGATAGATGCACACTGATGAGACCAGGAGTGGTAGCTTATCCTTCAGGTTCATGCGAATCATCAGTTTCGTAGAGAAAGTTAGTCGTCAAGTCAAAGAGGACAAATGAACCAGTGTATTCTGGCTAAACATGGGAGACACCAAAAGAAGAGGACACAGAAATGCAATACGACGGGTAGAAGTAGCACAACACAGAAGATCTGTGCGAATGATGACTTCAGTATATGATATCCATAATTTTTCTCTAAGTGCATATATCAAATTGCACATAAACATCCTGTTACCAAGTCTCCGTTACAATGTTTCTTCCGTAATTGGAACTTGTGTACACAATACCCAAGTAAGAATCTTAATCACAAGGTTTTTCATGACGCAATCATTGTCCTTTAGGATTCTAATGTATACAAGAATCGATCACCGGTTTAATTATTAGTGTGTGTATGTGTTGCTAGATATCTTTTGGTTTGGTGTTAAGTGTAGTTACTAGTGGAAGGAAAGAATATCTTTGCACGAAGAATATAGTCTGAAAATGCCCAGTTTCGTGGTTATAAATGTGATGTTGCTCGAGGTAGACAGCAGTCATTATTTAAGTGTACTTACATTTTACACGAACGATATCTGCATTTAAAATATCAAGAGACGCAATTTATTTTGGTCAGATATTATAAATATATTTTAGGAAAATTTGTGGACAAAGTCAGATGCTCGATGGATGTGGTTATTGGGGAATTACTGAGTCTTGGTTTAATGGGATTTGATTGTTTACTGGTCTGTTCACGAGCTGAGGTTAGTTAGAGGAGCACTGGGAGTACTGGAAAGCCGTCTCGTCCTAGTCTGCGACTCTTCAGTGGTACGCGCATTCTGGGGTTCGAACCCAGGATCTTTTGTTTAAAAAACCTTGTCAGTGGCGAGAGTACGGTTATTCGCTTAAAACATTAATTGGTAGTTGCGCTAAATATCGGGAATCGGCAGAAGTTTGAATTTATAGGACACAGGATTGGTTCGTAGTGGCTGAATGACCTACGACCTTCCTTCTAACCAGTAGGTCCTGGGTCGGTGAGTACTTCTGAAGATTCCCAGGCTAGGATGAAACAGTTGTCCCTGATCTTCCAGTGGTTCTTTAACTGATGTCAGCTCGAAAACAAACCAGCTGGGGAATTGTAAAAAGAAAAGCGACGTGATACGATGGACAGAGTTGTATGAAATGACAGCTTGGATATACGTAACTCCTTTACCATTGTATGCATACATTTATTTTGACTTGAACTGCCTGTGTAAAAACTATATAAGCACAATTTTCTGAACGCTTTTCACTAATTGTGGAACTTTCTGTCAACTGACAACATGTAAAATTTGCAAGTGTGTTAAAACTTTTCTGTACGTAAACCTCACAATTTATTTAGGCTGTAAGCAGCTGATGGGAAGTCGACGAAATAAATGATGGTACCATATTATTCTGCACAAACCACTGTTGTTCTTGCTTTATTTAAATATATGTGTATAATCAGATATTTCCCTAAAATGATTAGGTTCAAAATATTTGAATCTTAGCTTATTAATTTCAACAAATCTTTGCTGAA